AGAGGAGGGAGAGGAGGGAGAGGAGGGAGAGGAAGGAGAAGAGAGATGAAATGATGATCAGATGACGATGAGAGGGGGGAAAGAAGATGCGAATGCTGTCGTGAAGACGTTGGAGGGGAAAGGGGGTGGAGGAGGCTATGGTGATTTCGCTTATCTTTCTCTTTATTGCTGACCGTTTCGCTTTCTTGTTTTGTATTTTCAAGGATCCCTCTTCCTCATCGTCCTCCCCCTCTTGTCTTGCTATTGTTTCATACTGACCACCCGCATTCTTCCTTCCCCCGGCTTCTCCCCCTTTCCCTCTCCCCCCCCCCCTTTTTTCTCCCTCCCTCTCTTATGCCGATACTCCATGAGGACGGAGGGAACGAGAAAATGGACTCTCCTAACTATATATGCTATGCCTCGTCTCTCCCACTCTGTTTTCTTTTCTTTCCCCCCCCCCCCCCCCCCCTTCTTCTTTTAGCCCTCCTTCGTACCCCCTCTCTCTTTTTTTTTGTTTTTTTGTTTTTTGTTTAAAGGCTGACGACCTTGAGACATCATCATTGAACTGACCGGCCCCAGGTAATTAATTCAAAGAGATTTTATTTTGGTCATCTGATCGTATCTGGCTTCGAACTTGGGTCTACATTTCAACAGTTGGCTGGGTGTACCAACTGAGCCACGCCCGTCCCTCCCTCTCTCTGTGGACAGAATCTTATCGTTGAGATCCGCTGGGGTCATTACGAAGCTGCCTACGTTGTCTTGGGTGCCAGACTGTTAATCCTATTGGCTGAACACGGCCTTTTCAAAACAAAAAAAATAAACCCGGCAATTTAATGCACACAAAGGAAGGGCATTATTATTATTATTATTATTATTTTTCTATACTCTTCTCTCAACTTCTATTTCTTTACCTTCCACTATCTACTCCTAAGACTATCTAGAGGGAACCCCTGCAAGCATAGTTCTCCTCTCTCTTTGAAGGGGAGATTTCATGTGAAGGGCATTAATTATAGAACAGGCTGGCTCGTATTCTTTGCAGTTAGATAAATTTACCTAAACCACCACCAGTACTTCCTAAAGCCGTGCCCGTTAACAAGCCACCACGATTTCAGGAAATGTACGGGTCACTACAGGAGCGCCCAAATTCATCCGACTAGAAACGTTTCTACTCTATTTTTTTTCCCACGGTCGACAGCTGGGCCGAGTACTGGTGGTTTAAGAGTGGAAAAACAAATAAGGAGGAGGAAAAGAGAAAAAAGAACAGGTTGCCGTGTCATGTTCACATGACTCTTGTGAATCCCCMAAAAAGGAGAAGATGGGAAATAAGTTAAAATAAACCAAGTTAAACAACCAACCAACGGGCCTACTAGCTCAGTTGGTAGCTGTTGAAAAAATACAGACCCGAGTTCGAATCCAGGTACAATCAGCAGATGAGCGGAATAATATCATTCTGAATTGCCTTCGGTAGGGCCGGTCAGTCGAATGATGATATCTCATGTCATGGCCGTTGCCCTTTCCAAAAAGAAAAGAGGGCAAAGGAAAGGAAAAGAAAGGGGGGAGGTAAAAAAAAGAAGGAAAAAAAGAATAAGCCAAGTTCAACAGCCGCAATCAGAACGGGTAAAGAAAAACGAAAGTCGTGTAAACTATCATTACTGCACTGTCAGTTTTCACCGGAGGAGAAATTTGAAATTTTCCCATCGAGTGCGTATTATTGGACCCGACGGTCTCGTTATATACTTGTCACATTCAGCTGCGGAAAAAAAAGGAGGACAGTCCGAGAAGATCTGAGGGCATACTCACGCACACTACCGTATCACTTTCCGAAATGCATCTCACTGCAATTACGGCCCCACCTTGATGAATCTGACAGCAATCACTCACGTCCAGCGCTTTGTAGAAAAGAAGTCCTAGTGTGCGAGTATTCCCCTCTGGGTGGAGGTGAAGCGCTGAAAGATTATTAGACTGACTAATAGGAAGAACAGGTAGGCACTACTCAAGGGTGGGTCCTTGACAGCGAATTTATTATAAAGAGCTGCTGTCTTCACCCGAATATAGCGTACTGTCATGATCGCCGCATCTGGACTGAAAGTCGCCCCATATACAGCTAGAATAACCGGCGTTCCATTCCGGTGAAGACGATAGTAGCAGCATGTCTTCATCCTCCGATCCCTTTTCATTCATCTGTTTCCCTATGAATTGTTAGCAGCATGTCTCCATCCTCCGATCCCTTTTCATTCATCTGTTTCCCTAT